GGGTTTAGGGTTTAGGGCTTCCACGACCTCCCCCGCCACTTCTGCCACGATGATGTGGTGATGATGAACAGAATGTTGATGATAACGGTGATCATGATGATTATTAGTATGATGGTCATGACGGTGGTGAGGATGGATAGAGGATGGATGGAATGGGATAGAAGCTTTTGGCCATAAGGTGCTCTGCTAACCATGGTTAGCATCTGTCACTTTGGTCTAGCAGCATCCATGCTACTGCAAGAATACCACACGAAAGAATACCTTGCTAGTCGCGTCTCATCTCAGAACCTCCCGTCCTCAGCCACAAAATTCCCCGAACCTGCCCCGAAGACATTGGAGACCGCGCCAGATACATTTACTTCCCAGACATGTGCGGAAACTCAGATGCGCCTGGAAGCCGTGCGAAAAAACAGAGACATATTCTGCTGCCTTGAACTCTATTGGGGTTCAGGGCTGACTGAGAAGTCTGCTTCGGATTCACAGGGTACGACTCATTCTGGAAGGGCGGAGACCACCTCAGAGATCAACCCGCCACTGGGCCACTGGTGTCCGAGAGGGAGCTTGGTTGGATGCTTTTAGGATGAGGTACAGAAGAGCGTACATGTTTTGGGAGGTGTATTTCTTGAGGGCCTTTGCTGGAGACCTGGAGGATGTGGGTTGCAAGCAGCTGGACGCAGAAGCTTCACGTCAGGGTTCGTCAAGTCGCAGTGTTACTCCCAAACTCTTGGACACCCCAGCACCTCAAAGTGGAAGCCTGGCATGTCTGTTCCTGAGACCCATTAGCTGACAGGTGGTGTAAGGGCACTCTGGGGACCTATCGGAGTACAGGCTGCAAATCAGGCTCCGGGCCGCGCAATGCAGGTAGGCCCATCACACCTCACCTGGGCCCCACGCATCACTGACTACAACAACCTGACTGTCAGGATTGACTGTATGGCCAGGGTAAGGGCCCTAAGTCCTCAGGCTGAATGAAGGTACAACAGGCATCCAGGAAGCAGACGCAATGGAACTGCGAATCCCCGAAAAGGGTTTCGTTGCTTACTTCCCGCGCCCAGCACCATGGCACCTGGCAATGTTTGCACAGTTTGCACTATAAGTACTATTCTCATTCTCTACTTTTTTGTTGTTCTGCGATGGGTCTGGTTCTTTGCAGAAATATGACAGCTACTTGTACTACTATCAATATTTCTTTTCTTCTGCGGAAGCTTGTCTGATGAGTCCTCAGGACTTAGAGGTTTGACGTACTAGTTTTCAGCTTCTCATCCAGGGTTCTGCGGAGGTGGCTTCGGGTTTTGGGTCAAAAAAGGGGTCTAAGAAACCTGGAGATGTGATCTTTGCCTTTCCCCAAGAGATTGCTCAGAATAAGAATATAAGCCTTTGACATAGTCCTTTTGGCTGAAAGCTCCTATCAACCTTGATCATGCACTTCGCAGTTGGCAGCAAAAAACCAGGACCCCGAAGGCATGCCACACATGGGACGCGCAAGAACCCTCCCAAATCCGACCACTTCCTGTAGTGGCCGGATCCCATTCCTAGAGCTCCTTAGATGTCGACATTCGGCATGTTGAAGCCGCAGCACTCCAGTCACTCAGATAGTTCATACAGCTCCCCTCACAACCCTAAGAGGAAAGTTCAAGATTGTGGCGGACACCAGGAAAGTAGGTGGCGAAAATGAACAGAACTTACACCCTGAACTTCGGCTATCCCGAGGAATTTGGTTCCTGTATGTCTGAGACCTGCGATTGCGGAAAGCTTTTCTCGGTCATTGTTCACGCCTGCTCCAGTATGTCCATGGGCGGCCAGTTGATCAGAGACCAGCAGATACAGAACACGGCCAGACCTGGCCATGGACTGCTTCAAACTCATAAAACCTGAAAGAGTGCGGGGTCCCGTTTGCTGGAAGACAAGGTGCTACAAGAGGAGCCCCTTCTAGGCAGAACCGTTGAGGCAGCCCTTGGAAAGGCCCCAAGGAAGGGGTATCTGATTTTGTGGGTTGGACCTCGCACGTGCAAGCATGACCTTCCCTCCTGGTGAAAAGATTGGCTTATCAAGAAAGTGGGCTCCTTGGCATTGACAGAAGTGGGCTCTTCAGGGTCCACAAACAAGGGTAAGAACCAACGATCACTTGGCTAATACAAACAATGAGGATCCCATGAACATTCTCCAAAAAATGTTCCTCATGAGCGTGACCTAAAGGGACCCCGACTTTTGAGAGACGCCCTCATGCGTGGACTTGAGCCGCCCGCCGAAAAGCAGGACCTTTGCAAGGCGGATGACCTGCAGGCACTGCAGGATTGCTTCATTGAGTAATAGTGAGTATATGCCAAAATTGTTGCCCTTTTGCGCATGTTGAAGCTGGACTTCCCACGCAAGGAACTAGCCGCGGAATCCTATTCAATCCTATTCGTGGGTCACCTGGTGCAGAGGTTTGCAGAGCATGACCTCTCTGCAGCTAAAGGTTGGAAGTTGAACAGGGGTCCCAGCAAGCAAAAAGCACCTTTTGACTGCGTAGGGGGACCGTGTTGCTCCAGTTGCCCCGTATGGCCATACCCGCCACACGAGCAGCCGGTGCCACTGCCGCTGGTCTCCAACTTGTTGGGCTTGAGCTTCGAAATCAAAAGTTTCAGCTCACAGCAAGAGTCTTGCGCATTGCTCGGTGGTTGAACCAGCTTCCTGCTTGCCATCAGCAAACGCCTTCCGGCACAGTCGCTCGGGCGCTGTCCGCATTCCATCTAGCTCATGCTACCTGGGCATGACCTGCCTTGACTCATTGACGACGTTGTCACTTGCTCCTTCAAAGCTGCACGCTGCATAGAAAATTTGTTGCATCGCCGCAGCTGTGGCAGCTGATGAAGGACCCTCTCTCCAGAGTCATGAATGTTGGCGTCTGACACAGCTTATGTGGCTGGCATCATCTTGGCGGCCGCCTCTTCCTTTCCAAAGCTCTCACACCTGACCAAGTTTTCCTCCCAGCGAGCAGTGGGTGTGGAATAGCTGTCGCCAGTTCCCAGTGGTTTTGGCAACAGCACCGCCTTCAAGATTACGCGGTGACCAGACGTTAACTCACGCACCATGTGCACAGCCCCGCCAGCCTTAGTGCAGCTAGAAAAAGTGCTGTTCATTCAAGGAGAAAAAGAACGGTGAAAAGGGAAAAAAAGGACACCTTTAGCAAAACAACAGCAGGGCAGTGTGCGCCTTCAACAGCAGGGCAGAGTTCGGGGCTGTCCACAACTCCTGGACTTTTCGGTGAAGAACGTCAAGATGACTGGTGGCAAAGCGCGTCACTGAGTCGGAGGTGTTCTCTAAGGTGTAGACCAACTCCAACTGCGGGGGTTCTGTGAGAATGGTGTCCTTATGCCAAAGCATAGAGGAACCTTTCCGGTATTCTCTATACTCCATCGGGCAAGGCGAAGCATAGGGATAAAAGGGCAAGAATGCCCGGGTTTGAAGATGAAGGCGAAGCCAGTGGGACCGGAACACTTGCCAGGCCGTCCCTTCCGTACGAGTTATGACTCGGCGACCCCTGGCAACACAGGGGCCTTCCTCTGCAAGACGGTCATGGAGACCATGGTACTCATCCAGAATGTCCTTGAAGCAATCTTCAGGTAGGAGGTCTGGAACGTACGCACAACCGAGCTTGGCGTCCCAAGCTATCGCCCTTGCCAGAAGCCTCTTGCGTGTGACCTCCGCCCTCCAAAGGCCACTGCACAAGGCACCACAGGCAAGGAGTCCGCAAACGGCGGTCCTTGGCTTTTCCCCGCACCTCTCAGGCAAAAAGCTGGCAGGCTGGCTTTGTGGCCAAAGCAGCGGCAAGGGGCGAGAGGCTGCGAGGCTCACATCCATGCTGCTGGCAAGCTTGGGGTCTTCTACCCGCGCCAGGTTCCACTGGCATATATCCGTTGCCACAAGTTGACAGACTGCTCCTATCAACTGGCTCACTTTGGCAGAAGCTGAATGCAGTGTAGTTAGCCTATGTTAGCCTTGCGTTCTTCTCAACACCCACCTGTCCCTTGCACTTTGCCGGGCATGCGGCAAATCCTTATCCTTGAAGCTGAAAGCCGCGCATTAGTGGACTAGTTAGTGAAAGCTATATCCAATCTTGACTTCCCAGCGCTGCACTTGTGTCCCAGAACCCTGCGCACTGTCCTGCCTGCACCTCGAGATCGTAAGTCTGTATGGTCAAGTTCCGGCCGAACACAATGACCAGTAGAAGACCGGCCACTCCACCTGCATGCTCAGAATTGTTGCAAAAGGCGAACACAGAAGGCTATCAAGAGGCGCCTGAAGAGCCTGCCCATACGCCCTAAACCCTAAATGGTAGTTTTCATTTTTCTTTTCCATTATCCAAATATATCCCCAATATATACCCTGTTACAATGTAGCAGCTTCGATCTTCCTTTCCATTATCCCAATCCTGGGTTCCATTATCCCAATACCCTGGGTATACACGGTAACTAATCGGGGTACCCCAATATTCGAACTATTGACAACCCTTGGAGCCGTCAGGTTGACAGGCGTCTGAGTAAAAGCAGAGCCTCCCATGTGCGCAGAGTAGCTGATTTCATCCTGAGGATTGAAGAAGTAGAGCATGGCCTGCAAGGGACGGCCAGTCAGGCACAGACTTCAGGTTTTAGGGTTGAAGGTTTAGGACCTGGGTAGGCCTAGGGTACTTGTGGAGAGCTACCAAGGGTTCATGGCAGATTGTTGCTGCAGGATGTTGCGGGTACTGCAGCAGTATACCGCTGCAGAGGCCTGCAGAATCTGCAAACTGCTGCGGCACTCAGAGCAAGTGCACCATTCAGACAAGGCCGCCTCGACGAGCACAAGGAGGAAGATGAAGACCAGCCTTGCGGAGCATTATCAAATGCTGGAGGAGCGCAGAGATGAATAAGGTTTCCGCTTCAGGATGACATGGGGCCGCTTTCACAAACTCTCAGAAGCAGTGGAAACACCACACAAGATGAAGAGTAAGGAATCGCTCATGGTAAGTTCCCCTGCTAAAAGCACCAAAGCATCCTGAAAGAAGGAGCAGGACTCTTGAAGCCAAAGCAGGAATCTGGGATGCGAGTGTGTTGTGCCTGGGGACGAGATATTTTTCCTCCGTCAGTTCCGGGCCCGGCTCCCTAGACTCAGGATCAACAGATCTGGAGAGCTAAAGTCCATGCATTGCAGCAGCATAGCCCGAAGCTACGAGGAATTCCGCCGGCGGCTACTCAAGCCACTTGCTCAAGAATTATCCATGACCTTTCTGGCCTGCAAACTAACAGACGTAGACGTGACGTCATCCCGGAAACCTTGAAAAGCCTCCCATTCCAATTCCCCAAGGCCCTTGGTCCTCTAAAGATCCTAAACCCACATGATACATCCGTCTAAGTTCACCCCCCATAGAACTCCCAGCCATCTTCGCCAGGAAGCCGGTATGGAGCCGACTTCCTCTCCCAGTTCAGGAGGACATCTCCAAGTTGCATGCCAAGCAGAGCATAGGCTCCACCAGACATCCCAACCACCTGGGTCATGGAAAGATTCCGGGATATTGCCTAAATCATTTGCTCGAAGTGGGGGAAGCCACTAGTGTAGGGCCCGGATTCCTGTTGAAAGACAAACTATGCTGCTTTCGGCAAATCCCGATATCCTTATGAATGAAGTCCTGTACAACACCCAGTGCCCATCTCTTCCCTCAATATGCTCACCGTTCATCCAGCCAGTGTATCTGATTCTGATTTGGCTCTATAAACAACAATGATTCACGCAACATGGCCTTCAGTTTTGGTCAGAAGTACACAAAACTTGCATGACGGAAACTAGACATGCGGATATTTCCCGGCGAGGAGCCAGAGTATCAAAAGACTCTTCTGAAAGGACGCCATAAGTTAGGACCCATCATGTCAGAACCCCCGAATACTTCTCTCCTGCCATTTGTGGCAAGCGGTTATCACAGCCATAGGGTGCCAGGGCTTGGGATGTTCAGGGCTCAGGACTTGTGATTATTGCCACTTGGAAGATTCAAGTGGAAGACGTATCATTTACTGGAGCGATTAATTACGCATCTTCTACTACGGGACGGGGCCTGCCTACATGACTCCATTCTGAAAGCCTGATGTTTTGCGGGGTGATGGCGTGCTGCCTGACAACTTACGATCTTCTTTTGCAAGTTGTAATCTTACTTGGCTACAACCTCCTGAACAACTCCACACACTGAAGACTTCACCCTTCTCCTTTTGCGCCTCTACTACTTGATGGATTCAAGTTATGGGGCTCACGACGGCGCCCACCAAAAGCTGAATGGCAGTCAAAAGATGCTGAACATGGCTTGTTGAAAGTCTGCAAACTCCAAATTTCGTAGCCCAACGCATTGACCATCAGATGTATGGGAAGATCCCATAGTGCAAGAATTCTACAGGTACAGGATCTACATGCGATCCTCGGATGTTCTTAACTTAGGTAAGCCCTAGCCCTCCTACTCAGCCAAGCTCCCAGAAGATGCCAGCTCCCAAAACCCTGAACCCTCAAAGCCTCGACCCGCATAGCTGCAACCCTAAGCCCTCCTGATCCTAAACAAGCCCCGCTCAGCCCATCGCCCTGGTGTGGCTGTCAAAAACGCAGACTGCACCTGCACCACCTGCCACGGTATCTGCATAGCAGTCGGTCTAAATAAAGCATTTAGGGAGGATATGCAAGACTGAGATACTTGCTGCACAGGTTGCACGAAGGGTGGGCAGGAATGATATGGGGACCGTGTCCTTTAGCAGATCACAGTCCACATGAGCAATGGCGTCTGCCCGTAAACCCAGGAAGCGTCGCGCACTGTTCTTTTATGTCAAGACCTGTGCGAGAATATCATGTTACTTCACTACTCACATGCGGTGGGTCACTTTGGAGGGTGTTGGTGGAAGGGATACTGCTACCGGGATGCCTGACAACCTTGACCTCGGAAGCTTCCACGAGAAATAGTTGATTCTGTTAGAGGCTTCTGCCCCGTCACCAACACCAGCAAATTCTTTTCGTCATGCAACTACCATCCAACAGTTAGCATTATCAGCAGCAGCAGCAGCAGAAACATCATTGAACCCTCGACCTACAGCCATCGTCATGATCAGAACCGTCACATCCTCCGGCTTCAACGCTTGCAGCGCATGGCAGGCCTAGCACCCCGATCTCGAACATCCACATCAGCCTAGCGCTGCCGTGGAAGCCCTGGCCAAGCGGAATGTTTGGGAATTTGTATGTAGGGCTTTAGGGCGTAGGACTTGGGGTTGAAGGTCCAACGTTTCAAAAGGAGCTACACAACGCCATGTAACGAGCCCAAACCCACTCTTCAATCTTGCGCCCCTACCAACAGCACTCAGTTTGTTCTTGTTGGTTGCATTGTCATGCGGATATTTCACGCGGGTCAGGCAAGATGAGCTCAAGGCTCACTTGGACAAAAATAGATAGGGTACTTGAAGAAAGCGTAGGGCTGGCTGCAGAAAGAAAATCTTCGTCCCCATTGAAAACCATGCTCATGTGCAAAGCATATGACAAGCATTCCAGACACTATCTGAAAAACCTTTCAGAGTTTGGGTCCTCCATGTGCCTCCCAAGATGTTGAGTCGATGATGTTGAGTCTTTACCATGATATAACCCGAAACAATAAGTTTATACATGCACTTGGGTTCCATAATTTGCTTTACCAACATAATTATGCGAAAATTACCTGACCTCCTTCATGGGGCCCAGAATTGGACCACAGCAACGCTTAGCTGGCCTCGAGGTTGATCCCACAAAGGATCAGCAGCAGAATCTCAGTGGCTTTAGACACTCAAGGCTTGTTCGGGGTTGTTCAGGATTGAGGGCTTAGGGTGTAAGGTTGTTGTTAATCGAAGTTTTCAGGTTTAGGATTTGTAGCTTTCAATACACGCGGTGTTCCCCTAGATCTGAGGGGGCGGGGATCCAAGAAGCACATGGTGGCAATTTTCGTTGGGCTGTGGTCTGGACCAAGTCTTTGCACATGATAGGTTTGTTCACCATATAGCTAGACAAGCTTCATTTGCAGACACAGCCGGAAGTGCATTCCCGCCATTGCGGGCTGCGGGAAACCCAGGCCACGCAGTGGATGTCGAATTGGTAAGATGCACCTCTCCAAGTAGATGTCATGTGTTCACACAGCATCCAGAAGCTGTCTGGCATCTTCGCACGAAAACGAGGCGCTGGAACTCGCCCTGGAAGTTCAGGCAAAACAGGCTCGCTGCCTGCCTCCATTCACACCTTTGACATCTCGTGTGAGACAGGAAATGCAGGATGAAAGAGCTCTTGCAGCAAAGCTTCCTGCAAGTGGGCAGTAGGGTCGGGCCGCCCCTGCACCTGCCGCCGATCAAATCGCTCTGAAACGCGCAAGGCATAGGCAAAGAAGTCGCCATCAGCAACATCATCCGCCTGTGCAGCATCGTCCGTTTGAGCCTGGCGCTTGGCCAGCTCTAGTGCGTCCTGTGCATGTAATGGGAGGGCACCTGTGGAAGATTTCATGGAATGAAAGAGGCTTTTTGTAGGCCCTTCTGCCAGGCTGCCGCAAGAAGCCAAGGATGGGTCCGTGGTTGGAGGTATGGAACGGGATGATGGAATCGTCTGCAAAGTCGCCGGGGCCGTGTCCCATAACTCCCTCGCACGGCCAATGTGGCGGGGGCTGGTCGTCTCTCGCCGAGAGGCTCGAGGGCTCCGGCGCTTCCCTCCCACTGTAGCAAAGAGTTGGCTCAGCTCAATGTCTTCAGAATCCCACTCTACCTCGCCCTCCTCCAACACTTTCTCCCTCTTAGCTTTCTTTGGTTTACGGCTTCGCCGGCGGCCCTTGTAATTGTTGGAGCGTCCAGAATCAAGGTTTGCCTCGAAGTCCTCCGCGCCAGAGCTTTTGCCTTCCCGGTAGGATGTCCGCCCCGACCACAGTGAGATACCAAGCCCAAAGTCGTCATCTGCCTGGGCCCACGGGGCAGAAAGCGGGCGCAGGCTTTCAATGTCTAAGGCTGCTGGGTCCGGCAGTGCACTACCAGTCCGGCTGTCAAACGTGGTAATAGGCCCACCAAGGGCGGATAGCCTGGACGAGACGGTCTTCATCCCATCCTTTCGAGCATCAGATGCCAGCTTTCTTGGCAAATGGAATGTTTGTGCCAGAGCCAATACGCATAGCAACTCCAGCACGAAGAGCATCCATCCAGCTGCGAGGGCTTGTTGCTCAAGCGTGCTGTACGTGCAGAAGGCCTTATGCAGCTCATCTGGAGTTGAGATCTCCACCCCGTACTTCTCATCAAAAGTATGTCCGATGAAGCACAAGGACTTAAAGACATCCCAGTTGGCCGGAAGCAGCACGACAATGCAAATGATTATGTTCAGGATTCCAGCAGGTATAGCTGCCCAGAAAAGAATGCTGAAAACCCGAAGCGGCCATTCCCTCCTGCGAACCACCCTCAAGGATATTCCCGGCAGCGACAGCGGCATGACGATCCAGGGTAGAAGCCCTGTAGCACCTGCCCGGGATGCCAATTTCCTTCAATTTCCCTACTTTTGCTTGGGAACAACTATTCACTACTATGTGATGCTGTCTGTTTCCTTCTGCAAGGCGCGGCTCAGGCTGTGCCGGAACTCCACAAGGTCTGCTGGTCCATGGCAAGCCGAACACAGGGCATCGGAGGTAAGGGCGCCCCTCTTCTTCCCGTTGCGGCCCAGCGGGTCAGTATCTACATCGCAGGCGCAGAAGCGCATTAGGCCAGAGGCTCCTGCTTCCAGTGTTACATTTGGCATTGCCCCGTGCGCTGCGAAGTCGGGAATGCCCGAGACAGCATTGGATACGATCACCATCCACGCACCACAAGCCAGCTTCATCAGGCCTGCGACACACGCGAACAGAAGCGTCCGGCTCCCCGCAGCTCTTGACCAAACCTCCGGGCACGGAGCCGGGCGCGGGGATGATGCAGCCACAGACTCGTCCATGGCTTGGCACCGGCATGGAGAGCGACTTGGGTAGATGGAGTCTGCCTATGAAGTTTCCATCTCCACTACACGGAGATACTTGAAATGAAGGGGCTAGCATATGGATGCGTCACCACCATCATCACTGACTGGCTGTTGTTCTGGCACAGACTGCGGGTGTTTAGTTAGGGGCTCATGATGCTCAAGCAGCTAGCGTTCGAGCCACGGTTCAATCAGGAGATGAAAACCACACCGCAAATCTGAACCAGAGCCCTGAGGCAGCAGCATTGCCAATCATGTGGGAGAAGGAGCTGTGCGAGTACTGATACGTTATCCTCGGCTGCTCACTTGCAGAAACTTCTTTCAAAGAAATCCTGTGACTCACCTGGTTTCAGCTGCTGAAAAGTCACGCACGCCACAATTGCCAGCGGTAGTCCTGCGAAATGTGCAGATGGCGCTCTCAGCAGATGTCAGGCTGTCTCAACAAAAGTGGAGGCCGCCAGTTTTTCACATGCAGTCGTGCCTACTGTTGGTCTGTTCTCTCCATTTTGTGACAGTCTCCTGACACTGCTGCTGATTGAGGCATTATCTTCAGCTTTTCCAATCTTGTACCAGAAACAAAGCTAGCAGTAGGATGATCCCTGACAGGGGGGAGTCTCGGGATGCGTTTGCAACGTGGAGGCTACAGACAGTTCACATGACTACTGCATGGCTGCGTGCTTCTGCTCGGCTCGTCGGGCATTCCGGAAATCCCCACCCAATCCCGTCGTTGCCTTGATCCCTTTACATTCCATATCGAACCCACCGACATTCCTGGCAAACACCATACATCACGTAGGGCGGTTCTTAATGTTGTGGGTCCGCCTATGAAGCTTTCAAGACAAAGATCCCTTCCAGTCCATAGACCCCGCTAGGGTTTGAAGGTTTCCGTAAATAGGTGGCCAGCAAAAATTTTGATAATGCGAACCGTAGGTGCACCCAAACAATTGGCCCGAGACGTTTGAAAACTTGCATTTCCCTCCCAGGCCTGACACGCCCCCTCGCTGCGTACGTTGGTCAGTGCCAGGTCCGTCTGCCCAGGGAAGAAGGTCTCGAGACCAGCAAGGCTTCGGCCGGAGGTGCTGGAGAGCCTGGCTGAGGTTACGTTTCAGGTTTGGGGTTTAGGGCTTAGACTTCAAGGGTGTAAGGTTTAGAGTACAGGCTTCGGGGGATCAGAGGATTAGGGTGGAAGGTGCTGGCTTAGGCTTTCAGGGTTTTGGCTTGTGGCTGATGCTGTTTGAGTTGGAGAAGCGGTGCGAGGATTATGCCAGGATGTATGGGGTTGGGATGTTCCTTTGCTGTCTTTTACAGCAGGGCCACGGTCGTCGGCACCGCGCTTTCCGAAACTAAGATGTACTAAAGGCAGTATAGTATCGGCAGATGTACTCCCCTGGGCCGGCCACGGACGGGCACCTGCGGATCGGTCTACTGTCCTTGCCTGTCCCTCACTGACGTGCAATGACTCTGACTGCTGGAACCTTACAAAAACATTCAACAAAAGAAAGCCTCTCAACCAAGACTACGGACAATCGCCGTCGCGAGAAAGACAGATGAGAGTTTCCATAATTACGAAGAGTTCCGCCTTGTACGAGAGAGCAAACTAGAATCACTCTGCCAACTCCCAAAGGTCTCCAAGCCTCTTGCGGCGTCCCCTTACGGATTTCTCAAGTATCCCTTTGGCTGCGGCGAGTCAGCTTTGGAAGGCACTAGGTGGCCATAAGAAGGTTTTTGCAGCCGCGCAGCACTACATAGCCCAGGAAGATCACCAACGACCTGAGCTAAATTCCATCTGAATGCAGGCAGGCCTCTAGAAGTGTGTATATGTGTATATGAGCTACGGCATTGTTATTTCCCGATGCTTAATGTACATGGGTCCTTATTAGGAAATATTTTTGGGGCTAAACTACCACACGGACCCGTGTGTCCACACTTAATGGTGCCGTGGTAGCTCCTATCTTAACAGTAGCTCATATGATGCATATGGGGAACTAGTTGCTTGAGTCAGAGATGAAATGTACCTAAAGAACAGTGAGTTTCCATGTGACGGCTATTTGGAAGCTACTCTGGGCAACAGGATTTGAGAGAGTCCCCTTTGCAACATATTTTACATTCACAATCCTGATGTTCTCGGTGTATTTGCAAGCAAGCTGAGTTTTACGTCGTCCTGGAGACCAACACCCTGCAGGGCTAAAAGCAACCTGCAAGCAGTCCCTTATTCAGCATTGAGATTCTGACTACATTGAATGTGTGTTTGCCTCAGAGGGCTGCCGCAAAAGAATGGCCAATGGGTGAGGATGTTCAAGCTGCAACCAGCAGAAAATACTCCCCACCCCAGACAGCCTATCTCTTAGAGCTATGACCCCCGATACTTGTTGATGTCAAATCCCAGGATTCTCTCTAACTACAAGAACCCAGAAAGGTTTGGAAGGCTGGTTAACAGGTTTGATGTATCGCCACTTGTTGCCGGGTTGCTGGATCAGAGTGAACAGCGGGAAACTCTGCATGACAAAGAACTCTGTATCCTCTCCGCATTGGATGGTCCAGGAAGAGCGGGTTTGGGGCCACGGTTTGGGATGTATGGTCTAGGGTTGCAGCTGGAGTAAAGGACTGGAGCTGAAAGTGGTGCCTAGTAGTAACGTTCTAGCATCTGACCCGTAATCTTCGTTGCCATTCTCCCAACGTCTTCCCGCCTGAAGGATGGGATGCAGGGCCTAAAGCTTGCATGTATCTGTATCAGGCTAAGTCATCACGCCAGACCCCCCCCCAGCCCCCGCTCATCAGAATAATACACTTCTGGACACGCAAAGATACAGCGACATGGCCTAGCTCCATGTGCTAGTTGTTCAGATTTGTCCGGAATGGTCTATATAGTCTAGGTACATAGGTACATCCCAGTCGAGTTCCTCAATTTTATTTATGTACACCCAGAATTTCCAACTATCTGGGCCCTCCCAGGACTCAGAACTACGACTCAAGCCACAAGGTTCCTCCTCATGCACCTGGCCCTGGAGCATGTCTGCCAGAGTCTCCTGGTCCTGCGGGGCGCTCGCAAGCTCTAGCACGCAAATTCCAAACACAAGAGTCAAAATGTCTCAAGTTTTGGCATGCGCACCACACGCTGGCGAACAGCCTTTTCAGCATCGTCACGGACCCGTGATCACATGGCCCGCAGCGGTCCGCGAGGGTCCGCGAGGGTTTGAAGCTCTGAACAATTCTGTGTGGGAACATGTGGGAACCGCTGGTGGAAGGTCCATATCACCAGTATGCAGTCCTGTTCTTGTCCTACGAGGGCCACTCCCGCCCGGTTGGGTAGACGCTTCATCATCTTCCATTCAACGAACATCGACCGTCGACCTCCTTGACTCCCATGTCAGCAAGTACACCCAACAGTCAACCTGCCAAAGGCCAGGACAATCCCGTGGTACGACTCTACCATCGCGAACGCGCGTGTGCTGCGCATGTTAACCGTCGAGGCATGTCCGGGGTACACGCTGGAACTTCCAACCTCCACGCTTGCCTGAATGCCGGTTTCCATCTCCTTTCTCGTTGCGGTCTGTCAATACTAGCAGCCGCGCTGAGAGGCCTCACGTCAGGCTGCACCTGGCCAGACTCATTGCATCTCATGGCAGTTTGTAACTACCAGCTGCGCTCTGCAGCCTTGTCAGGTACAGAACGCAGCTGGTAGTCTCGCCCTTCACCGCAAGGGCCTTCTTCGCCCTCGGTGCTGTGGACTTGGGCGCCACGACTGCGGGTCAGTGCTACTAATTGAGCCAAAACAAGCGCGTCGACGTTATCTGGAACTTAGTCTACTGCTTCGTATGCCACGCCAGACGACTAACAATGCACAAGCGGCTCCGGCACCCATCCTAGAAACTCATTCAGAAACGTAGCCCAGTGAGACTGGTTCTGTTGCAACACAAGAATCCTGGGGGAAACAAAGTCTTACTCCATCAGCTTCGCCAACAACTTGCCGCCTCTGTGTGCGTGTCTAAAAGATAGATGCAGCAGCTGACAAGCCAGGTGATCTTTACTATGGCAGGGCCTGTAACCTGCAATAGCAATTCGTTGGAGTGGTCAACACACAAAGGGGCTCCCTGGATGTTATCAAGGGTTCCAAGATGTTGGGGTGTGTAGCAGAAACCGGTCTTGCCCGGATTCAACAGAACAGCAAGGATACGGTCTTCACATTGGCCACTCGCCAAGCCCTGGTGCGTCCTCCTCAGGAGCCTGAGCGTGGGCACGTCTAAACGGTAACATGAGGGATCTCTGTTAAAAATTATGCGCTTCCCAGTGTCCTTTCAAGAAAACGAAGGAACCCCTGAGGTTGTAAGAGTTAGGAATCTGGAGATCATTTTGTTGCGAATCCTCCGTTTCGAGCCAGAGGTGGGGGTGGAGGGTTGGAATAAACATGGGCGCGAAGATACGCGAAGATAAATGCAGAGATGAGATGCCAAAAACTCTATCGGGGATATGTAGTGCCCTCTGAAGGGGATACATGGGTTTCTTTTGGAAAAGAAAGTGGAAACCACTATTTTATCAAGAAGGGAAGTGGCTGTTGCCAAACACCATGTTGGGTATCATAGCTTTCATATGCCCTCCGTTTGGAATAGGTTTTAGGGTTTAGGGTGGAAATACTTGCTGCAGCCGGAGTACAGTCTGGCCCTCCAGGTACAGCTGCCTCAGCTCTAGCATGCATCTTCCTCTAACTACATCCCCCTTTCTCTGGGTGTGGACCGTGTCAATGTCCCATGTAATCCCTCATCTTTCAATAGGAATGTTGAGAAGCCCATGAAACCATCGGGGGAGAATGAGTATGCACAATGTGAGCAGATTCACCTTAGGTCTTTACAAACCCGCGAGACACTGTGCATAAA